GAATGCTGCACAATATTGCTTTTTCCTGCATATTTACTATTTGCAAAAAATAAAACATATTTTTAATAATATAATATAAATAAAATCTTACAGACAATTGCACACCTTATTTTGCCTGAGATATATCATATTGGTTGAGTAGATGAGAATGTAATGTTGCTCTAAATTACAGTCTTTCAAAGCTTGTATGGTTACCCAGCAATCTATCACTGTCACACAAGGAGTGAGGGGGGGAGACAGAGCAGACAGGCGCCAGGCACAGCAGGATCAAAGCATGAACATACCTCAGGGAGGGAAACGGTTAACTCCATTTAACCAATTGTCCTATAAGACTGAGACAGACAGAAAGTCAGTGTGTTACTTCAGGCCCATATAGGAGGATATTCACTTTCAACAGGAGTTATTGGACTTGATGGAGACGCTGAGGAACAAAACTAATTTGGATGAGTCTCTTCAATAAGGCCTTTTACAATCTCTCAGCTGCAAACAATGAACACAACAGGCTAAAATATATGAGCATAGACAATTAAATTAGAGGCCACCACATGAAAATTTACAGTGACAATCCCTCTTAGAAATGCATGGAGTGCTAAATCACAGCTTGAATAGCTGTGAAGCTTTAATGAACAAGGGACATAAACTACTGTATTCTATGAAAGCTTTTAACAAGTAGTATCAGTGGTTTAACTTTTTAGCATAGATATAAACTGTTTTAAACAAGTAGTAGTTTCAAAATCATCAGTATTTATTTTATTTAAAATAATCTGTGAATAAAGAACTTGGTTAAAAATATTTTATAGTATCAAAATCAGCCAACCTTTTGCAACCATTGTGTAGGAAATTAAATAGAATGTGCAATGTCTGCTGTAAACTGAAAATGGTCACAAAAGAGAGATTTTTAGTGATTCGTGCTTTATATATGTATTTTTGGAAATATTTATGTTCCTCTATGCAAGGCAGAGATTTAAAATTTAAAAACAAAACAAAAAGAAAACTAACAGAAAGCAAAGCAAGGTCACAGTGTAGCCTGCTTCATACTTCTTCGAGACACACCTTCTGGCTTAACTTTTTTTTAGATCTGTAAATTAAAAAACAGTTCAGTTAAAAGTGATTTTAATTCATTTTCAGAGTTTAGTCATTGTAGAATAATCTTAATATATATCTTTAGATCACCAGATGAGTAAAACATGTTACCGTGAGCGAAATCAATATAAAATTTGCTTTAATTAGTTATTTCCGTGGGCTTTGAAGTGACTTCATACAAGTTGACATTCTAAAAAGTAATCTCTGTGATAGAGCCATTTTGTATTTTATTACTAAAAATCATGCTTACACTCAGACGTTGAATCAGCTGAATTTATTTTAAAAATTGGTAGTTTTCCCATTTCTATACAGTTAAGGGTAAACTTAATTCCCTTTCAAATAAAATTGACATAAAATAGTCTAATTATAGGGGTTTAAGTTTGGACTCCTTTCATCGTAAAATAAAAAGATCTGTACAATCATGTTATACTGTAAATGCTTTTGTGCGTTAATAACTTCAAGAAGTAACCTTGTTTCCACACTTTTTTGAATAAGTTGACCATTGAATACTTACATTTTAGACCACAAAACAACTGCTTTCCTAATAGTTCAGGTTCAGTCACAGCGCTGAGTTATTAGGTGTCTCATAAATCATGGAAAGTTTGCACAATCTTTGAGAATTAGTGACCTGCCACTGGTTACAGGTTTTACATCTGTCAGAAGCTATAAACAGTAAATCAACCTCAGCTCTAATGTGTGTGTTCTGGCCTATGAGAGCTTGATCAGCAAAGTCACGTGCAAGATGTTTAAAGTCTGATACGCTCGCGGCAAGATGAGAAAAGAAACTTCTGCTCTTCACTGCAGAAGACAGAAAACGTTTAGTTTATCAGCGGGTGCGCAGCATCAGAGAAACTTTAGGGATGACAGTAACCAGCAAGTGAACACAAGCCAACCTTAACGGCAGCGGGAAGAGAGGAGAAGAAAGGGCTTGCATGGCACCGAGGTCGTGCGTAATGAATCCTTCGCAAGGATCCCCGGCCTTGGATACATTGCCTCAGGATAAACCCGCTGGTGGAGCTGGAGCCGGGAAGCTGGACATGGCACCTTGTAGAAGTTTTAAAAGCAAAAGTGTAGAGCTGCCTTTCAGTGTGGAATCCTTAATATCGGACAGGAGCTCTCCGGGCAGCAGCCTTCAGTCATCCGAGCTTGGATCAGGCTGCGTTCGCACGGAGGGGAGCGAGTGTGCGTCACCAAGAGGGGTCTGTGGATCCAAACTGGAGGCTGTGGGCCCCAGCGAGAAAGAGAGCACCTGGCCTCATGGTACCTATTCTCCTCATTTAAGTGAGTTGGAAATATTCTATTATTATTGCTATTTCAAACTTAAATGTTGGCTATAGATGCTTAGATTCAACAGGTGGATGGAATATAAGAGTTTAAAACTTATTTGTATACATTGTATATCATGAGTTGTTATCCTTTTAATTATTATATATATAATTTCGAAATAAGCCGTATAGCTATCAGAAGTGTTTTTACTTGTTTTTATGTTTTTATTTGGAAGCTTCTGGTTAATGTTCTATAGCATATAAGTATAGTTTGGATTATTCTCTATTTGAGTCAAGCTCACATTTTAAGTCCATTAGGACCCAATCCATGCCTCTCCAACCTACACAGTGTTGCTTTCCACCTGTTGGCTGGTCATTAGCTGCTAAATTAGGATTTAAAATCAACTGAAAAAATGTGAATGTAGATTTTTTTTTTTTCAAATTATAAAAAAGAAATGAAAGTTAATTCACATGGGTGTTAAGTTTTGAGAGAAATACAAAATGTTATCGTTTGTACATAAAAAACAGGCCCATATAGGAGCAGAGGAAAAAAGAGTTAGTGGACTTGATGCGAGACGCTCTGAAACAAAACTGATTTGGATGAGTCTCTTCAATAAGGCCTTTTACAATCTATCAGCTGCAAACAATGAACACAACAGGGTCAAATACATGAGAATAGATAATTAAATTAAATTAGATTGGATATTTCATCTTCTCAATTGACACAAAAAAATCGAGTTTTATCTTATTAATCTGCTTTCAGGAATCCCCAGCCCAAATACATGCAACCTGAGGAAACACAAGAACAACAGGAAACCCAGGACCCCATTCACAACCTCCCAGCTGCTCTCTCTGGAGAGGAAGTTCCGTCAGAAACAGTACCTGTCCATCGCTGAGAGGGCAGAGTTCTCCAGCTCCCTGAACCTTACAGAGACCCAGGTCAAGATCTGGTTTCAGAACCGCAGAGCCAAAGCCAAAAGACTGCAGGAGGCAGAGCTGGAGAAGTTAAAGCTGACCGCAAAGCCGCTGCTGCCGGCCTTCGCCTTCCCCTTCCCGCTGAGCGCACCTCTGGGTGCTGCGCCTCTGTATGGAGGCCGCTCCGTCTTCCCTGTGCCCGGACTACTCAGCAGGCCTTACGGGATGTACTACCTGTCCTAAATAACTCCTCTCAGGACCATTCACTGGGAGCTCCTTTGAAATTATTTTTAAGGAAAAAAAAATGTTAAAAAAGTATCCATCCAAAAAAAAAAAAAAAAAATTCATCATAAATATAACGATTTTTTGGGCCTTTTATTGATGTTACACAATTTTTTTTTTTTTTTACAAAAACGAACTTCTTTATTTCTGTAGAATTAAATAAAATAAAGTTTCGTGGGTAAAATCACGGATCTCCTTTAAATAAATGTAATAAACTAAACAGATGATCAGATGATGCTGATTGTAAGGGTTAGTTTTACTAATCACTTTATTCTGATAGATGAATTTTTTAAAGGACAACCTCCTCTGAGATTAGGATCCAGAATCATAAGGATGTTTGCTGTTACAGAGCTTTAGCAAAAACTTGTTTGTAACACAGCTTTATAAGCCATTTCTGAGGATTATATATTTTTTATATATATTGCTAAAAAAAAAATATAGAAAAACTTCCCTAAAACAGTATCTCCATGAGTAGATTTAAAATACTTGCCCTTAATGAACTGCTAAACCATAACCAATATATATTATTTTAAAAAATATATATTTTCCAAGTTTAATAAAAAAAAGAGTTGTCTTAGAATTATTTATAGTTAAAATGAACTGGAAACAAATATAATAACAACATCCAAATCTTTGAGTTAGTAATACCTTCTCTCTACCATTACTGTAATTTTTAGCTATTTACAGAGGTCCTCTCTCAGATTAAAACAGGATGCTGACTGGGACATTAAAAAACAATATAATTCTAGTCAGACGAGACATTTCTTTTAGGGGCATGAATAACTGGTCTTATCTGAATATGAAGATTAATCCAAGGTTTGGATTTCCATGGCATGGTTACGCAAAAGAAACAGTTTTAAGGAAACAAAATATGCTCGCTGTGTGTATTTGAGTTAAAGACATCACAAGATGAACAAGTATGAAGCTGAGCAAATAGTATTAATACAGTTTATCACAGATGATGGACTTTCTTTGCTACTCAACCAGACTTTGTTCCATCTGAATGCAAAGCAATCTGTTCACTTTCTTTTTTACCATCCAGTAAAGGGCAATGGAAAGACTAGATTTTTATATAATGATTCAGAAAAAAATATGTTGGCAAGCCAAAAATCTGGTTATGCTTTTCTTATCGGACATCAAAATTAAGTTTGACTTATTTTACAAACAAGTCCATCTGTTAGCTTTAACTGCTTTTATTAGCACCACTTTTCCTGTGTTTTAAAGCAAAGAATTTGGTGTGACCTCATACAATAGGGAGTTACGAGATCTTCAGAGGTAAGATTGCAATCCATAAATCCGTTACTTTCTTATTAAGCAATACAAATAAAACCATACATTATTCTAATGTTTTATTTTCATTTGTTATGAAAAGTTATTAAAACTATCCTTTTTAGTTGCCTCTACCAACCTCACTTTAATGATTATTAATGTACAGAGTATATTAAATCCAAAGACTTAAAACACATCCTGTATTCAACTTTATTATACAAAACATAAAGGAACCTGACATTTTCTCCCAAAATTCTAAACCAGGGTTCTGAACTTTGCTTTTCAAACTCCAGCAATATGAAGGGACTTTCCTTTCTCCTCAAAAAGTTAAAACAAAAACTTTTACTTGAACTTATCAATTAAAAGATAAAATGTATGAAAATGTGAATTTTCAACAGTATAAGACGGAAACAAAGGGTTGAGTTGTTGTTCTTCATTTCCTTTTGCCCCTCTGGCCTCTGAAGCCTCGGACTGAGCCGTGACCGAAGCACACCGTTTTAGGCACTCTGTGAAAAACACAGAATAAACACTTTAAATTCTACCACAAGATGTTTAGATGAAAATCAGCTGTAAAATCTCCACACAACTGCCTTTAATCCAACTTAACTAGATGCAGACCAAATATTTATCTTTAGAGGACTGAAGCTAATCTTCTAAACTCTACTTAATGCCATTTAGGAATTAAAAAAGGTTTGTTTAGAGAAGACCAACCTGTAGGAGTATTTTGGTTTCAGTGGTTCTGTCTTTGTTTCTGAGGTCTGAGCTGAAGCTGAAAACTCGTCCTCACTGCTCGCTTGTATCTCCATGGACTCGTCCTGCCTAAGCCGGTTGGACTGAACGTCACAGATAACCTCGCAAACACCCTCCGACTTACAAACATCGTCTGCTGCCTCCATGGCGGTGTCATTCCTCTGCTCTCTTCTTGGTTCTTTGGTTCTGAAAACAGAAAAAAATTATAATTTTAATAATAAGCCCACTTACTTTAATGAAGTTAAGAGGAAAATCTTTGTAGATCTTAATTTAAATCTAGAGTAGTGTCATTGTCTTTTAATTTACATTTGGGATCAATAAAGTATTTTGAAACAAGTTGAATTGAAACAAGAAGAGTGTAACAGAGTAAAAGTTTTATCATGCACAGCAAGAGGAGAACTTAATGACATGTTAAATGGCTGCTAAACGAGGAAGAAGCCATCACTAAAGAAAAAAAGATTAATTAGAGTTTGAAAATTGAACTAAGATTAAAAAAAAAACAACAACCTTATTTTTGGTAGAAGCATCTTTTGATGAAACTAATATTTAAGTGTCTAACTGTAATACCCATTATCATATTGGGAGGAAAAAAGGAGAAATTGTGCCTTTAACAAATCCAACCCCAACTGTGAAGTAAAGGATTGGCAGCATCATGCTATGGGGGTCTTCTTAGACAACTTTTATTGTCAATTTGGGTATATAGAGCATATACACAGAGTGTATACAAAACAAATTCGTTTAGTACAGCTTTTCAGACAGTAAATTAACATTTCCATTTAATTAAGTGCAGCAGTGATCAAATATAAACAGTGTGTGAAAAACAACATGGTGCAAAAAATGCAATGATATGAAAGTTCAGAGCATTAATATATATGGTGCACATAATTCTGTAAGAGGGACCGCTGCATTACTTAAAATAGTTAGCATCATGAGGAAAAAAATGGCTGGAGTGGCCATTAATTGTACTCAAGTAAGAATACCTTTACTTTAGGTAGAAGTAAAAAAAATAATAATAATCAGAGATGGACAAGAAGCTGAGTGCATGGAGCTGGTGAACTGCTTTGTGACATGATTTGGAAACAATCATCTGAACTGTGAAGTTGTCTATAAGAAAAGACAGAGCAGACTGTACTTCCTAAAGAAGCTTAGGTCCTTCACTGTTACGGTACTATCTTCTATAAGTCTGTGGTGGAGAGTGTGAACTCTTCTGCCATCATCTAAGGGGAAACAGCATGGGATCAAATAACTTTAAAAAGTTCAACAAGCAGATAAAGAAGGCCGGCTCTGTTTTAGGAACTCCTCTAGAACTTCTGGAGGTGATGAAGGATTCCTCATGAAGTAAAGAACATTACAAACAAAAGTGAGTATCCTCTTCATCAGACTGCTGAACAAAAGAAGAGTGTCTTCAGTCAGAGGCTACTCCAGATCTGGTGCCAGATAGGCCAATACAGAAGCTCCTTCCTCCCTACAGCTATTAACATCTGCAACAAGACCTGATTTTACTCCAGGAAATGTATAGGCAGAGGTTAAAAGGTGCTTGTATGCAAGGCTTGTAGGATTCTTTACTTGGTTAGACCTGTTCTGTTAAGATGAACAGGGGCAAAATCCTCCAAACTTTTTTAAGAAGCTTGTGGAAAAAAATAAAGAAAATATAGTATAAAATGTAATTTCATTTCTGAAATTTTAGGAAAATTCTACAAAACTCAAATTTATCTTGCAGAAGACTACTATGAGTACCAAAAGTATAGTGCCATCTAGTGGATAGATTCAAGCATGTACAGCCTTACCCTTTTTCCTTTCTGTTTTTGTCGAATCTGAAGTCTGGGGGATATTTGTGAACTCTTATCAGGTGGTCCTTCCTTTGCTGACTTGTCTTAAACTTCTGTCCACATCCCTCTACTAGGCACAGATACTGAAAGGCACCGATATTCAAAGGAAAAGTTCAATTAAATCAGGTACACAATCAATCACTTCTAAATGAGTTAAGAGTGTGAGTGCAAGGCTTACCATGTCTTGTTTTTGGGCGAGGATGGTGAAAAGGGAGTCGTGCCACTCCTGAATGTGAATGTCCAGGAGCCGGGCACTCGGCAGGGAGCGGCGACAGGAGCAGCACACATGTCTGTGCAGGGAGTTGTAGTGGTGCTCATACTCGTCCAGCGTGCTGAAGACGACTCTACAGCCAGAGATGTGACAGGCAAACTCTGACACACTGTGGAGGAGAGAAGAAACAAGCTAGTCAACATCAAGACTTGCTGGGTTTTTTTATTTGTTTATTAAATCTGTCAAACCCGAAAACACTTGGATGGACCATCATGTCCAGATTTTCTTCTAATTTCTTCTTTTTTTATTAGATTTAAATCTATCATTTAAAGAACTTGCAGCAATTCTTAATTGTCATTCATTTTTACATTTAATTCTCAGATTAAAAAAATTTGTAGAAAAAAAAGATTGTTTGTGTTGCGATCCAGAAAAAACTGTTTTAATAGAAATAAACTGTCCCAGACCAGCAGGTCATACTACAAAAAAAAAAAAATATTAATTAAAAAATCATATCAGCCAGAAAAGAAAAAAAAACAAACCAGTACATTTCCACTTTCTAATCTCTGATTTTCCTCCAGTATAATGATAACTTAACTGAGGAAACAAATTTAACATACAGTATTAAAAAGAGTAACCACAGTTAACCCAGTTAGAGATTCAGAAAAGCAGTACAGTGTTAGGAGGATATATATATATATATATTTTTTTTTTATTATTTTATTTTATTTTTTTTTTAATGAACACTATTGATTCCATTTTCTCATTCACCAGTCTCTAATTAAGTTCTGGAGTTTTTACAGTCCCTGACATTTGACACCGAATGGAAGAGTCTAGCGTCATACCTGCCTGCTGCCATCTCAGACCAAGCTCTGCACTGGTGGCAACACTGTGCATTGGCTTCACTTGTTTTCCTTACTTGTGTGACTTGAGGTTTTTGGTGATTTGGCAAATTGTTGTCTTGGGTGTAAACTTTATAGCAGAAATATATTTACCTGTGAAGGGTTTTTTTTTATGCAACGCAATGATAACAGCATTTATTTCCTAAGAAGTGACCAAGATTGACAAAGGCACCGTTTCAAACATTACCCTACGGTTCAATGCTAACTACCACCTGAAGAGCTAAAGCAGTGCAATTTGTAGATCGCAAGGTTTCCATCAGTCTCAGAGGATCAGGCCACAGCTGTCCATTCCAGATGTTTGGCTGTAACTTACCTGGGCGCTGACTGCTCTTCTGGTTCTGAGATGAAGAGGTCCTGTAGATACAGGTGTCTAAGAACATCTCCCTCCTGTCAACAAAGCTTTTCGTTACAGTCTGTTTCTAATCTTTCTATGAAGGTTTTGTCGTTAGGTAGAGCCCTATTCGTAGTTTTTGTTACCTCGAACAGCTCATGGTCTCTGTGGAGACGGAGGAGCTGCGGACTAAAGGTGAACGGGTTTCCTTCCTCAGTCTGCCTCATCCTCTCCTCCTGCTGCTGCGTCGGTTCCTTAAATCCATGGCCTTCGCTTATATTCTGAGTTTGACCACCTCCCATCATCATGAAGTGAACCGAGTCCTGCTGAAACATCATGCACAGAAGTCTTCAGGACATCCTCGCAGAATTAGGCTGTCCGTTAAGGTTTTTTTGGTTTGTTTTGGTTCTAATTTGGCGCGGAGTTATTACGTCACTAATCGAGTTCCCAGCTCGAGAGAAATATGCCGCTTGCTTTTTGTATTGGCTGTGTTGTTGTTTTTTTTATCTTGTACTTCTTTTATGCTTTAATGTATCAGTTTTCTATTGTTTTCAAAGTCCTAAATAAAATAAAATAAAAATTAAAGCGCATTTTTTTTATAAAAATAAATTGCCGCTTTGTCGCCACCTGCTGGTCAAAGTAAAAGACGTCTTGCACAAAACGTGCCAGAAACTAGAAACAAGTCAGTTTGTAAGTAATAATTATAAGTATGAACATAACTACTGCTTGATTAAGAAATGGAACATATAGCTTTTGTGTGTAACTCTTTGTGGTATTTCTGTCCTTTACAACACATTGCTAAACAAAAACCATTCAGCAATAAAAGAAAAATGTATAGTAAGTGGGTAACAATTTATTTTTTCTAAATGAAAAATCCAATTACATCACAGCGCATAACATAGACACACAAGGGAGAATTAACGATGCCTTCATTATGTTTTTAAACTATGGGATTAAGCCAGAGTACCTGAAGAGAAACCTCACATGTACAAGGAGAACATGCAAACTCTATGTAGAAAGACCCAAGGATGGAAATCTAACCCACAACCTTCTTACTGTAAGTCAACAGTGCTACACACTGCACCATTATGTACAATGTAATAAAAAAAAGTGCAGAATGAGAGAAAACAATCTTGTTCTTTAATTCTCTATTAACACTTGGTTTGTGAGTGTCCTGGGGGCTTTTGTTTGATGTCATGAATGCACGGGCCAATTAGCATTTTGAAATTTTTGTTTGAAAGGACAGTGCCCATGTTTAATAGGACTCTGACACCTGGAGGGATGTGACCGGGAAGAATGGACCCCCAGCTCTCAACCTGGGTGGCGTTTTATTATTACACTTCTGTGCAAGTCACGGATTGTACATAATCAACACCATGTTCAAACATAAGTATGTGCATCAGTGTACCTCACACTTTACGCCAGAGGTTGATTTTGTAGTGGTATCTTTTGACCTTTGGCTGCAGATCTTGGACTGCAGCCGAAGGTCAAAAAGGAGGGGCTGTTCACCAACTATTACCTGGTGGTTGGCGAGTAGTGAGGGCCTGCTGGGAACATCTGATTGAGCCCTTACTCAAGGACGTCTTCAAGTCCCACCTCTGGGACTTGATTCCTCTGCCAGATTCCGGGAGAAGCTGGAGGCATGAAGTCTATGCGTCCATTGTTGATGTTGCAGCCCGTAGCTGTGGCTGTAAAGTTTGTAGTGCCTGCCATGGCGGCAATCCCTAAACTCTGTGGTGGACACTGGCAGTAAGGGATGCTGTCAATGCTGAATAAGGTAATCGTGGGGCCACGCTTGTCGCTGCCCGGGTGATTGCAGAGGCAAAAAGTTGCGCCTTGGAGGAGTTTTGAGAGGCCATGGAGAGAGACTATAAGTTGGCCTTAAATAGATTCTGGCAAAGCATCCGGCACCTCTGGAGGGGGAAGCAGTTCTTTGCTAACATGGTTTTCAGTGTGAGTGGGGAGCTGGTGACGCTGAAAAAAGACAAAGTTGGGTGGTGGAAAGAATACTTTGAGGATCTCCTCAATGTGGATGACACACCCTCCGTGGTTGTGTGGTTGAAGAAGAACCGGGGTGCTCAGAGCCGATTTGTTCATCACTCAGGCTGAAGTCACCAAAGTGGTCAAAAAAACTCCTCGGTAGGAGGGCTTCAGGGTGTGATGAGATCTGCCCCAAGTACCTTAGAGCTCTGGATGTTGTTGGGCTGTCTTGTTTAACATGACTCTTGAACATGGCTAGGAGATACGGGACAGTGTCCCTGGATTGGCAGACTGGGGTGGTGGTTTCCCTTCCTGAGAAAGAGGAGAGGGTGTGTTCCAACCACTGTGGTTTTTGACAGCCATCCTAGATTTGGTCTCAGTTTTCATCTTCAGGACGAAAACTATTGTTAGTTTTAGTCACATTTGAGGCATTATGATGTGTGATAGTTTTAGACAGTTTTTGTCAACTAAAAGTCAAAAAGATTTTAGTATTGTTTTAGCCAGTTTTATGTTACAAATTCATAGAACAGTAACCCTTTACAATTTCGAATAACAACCACATTCTTTACCAGACTGACAGCTCTTGCCTAGATACTACAATTGCTGGAGATGCAATGCTGCAGTGCAGTTCATCATTGCTGTTTGGAAGATTTGATTTATAGAATTCAAATAAACTTTTTTTTAATGAATTAATGCCCAACTTTATACAAAAGAGTCCCACAAAAGTTGTGAAGATAGCCGGCCTAGTTCAACACATCATATTGTTTAAAATAGCAGACAGACAAGCTAATAAAATGTACAATAAAGGAATGGCTTTAAACATACAAGGTATCCCTCCAAAAGAAAACACTTCTTGATCTACTATGGGTTATGCATTACACACAGATCAATCAGTCTTAGTAGCTCCAAAAAACAATAAGAAAATTATTCTTTCTACTTTGGCAATTTTGGCTTTATTTTTAAGAATTTTCCCCTTAGTTACAGCTGCTTAAGGGTCAAAGTAGATTTTAATTCATAGGCGTCTGATATGTAAAATGACATAAGGAACCTACAAAATCGCCTTTTAATGCCAAGAAATCCCGACATAAATTTCAAGAATACTGGAACCAAAATGTTAAATATTCAAAGGAAACAAAAATGTTTTAATGACAATTTAAGGAAACATTTATATCATATTTGAGTAGATAGAAACATGAACTGAGAGAGCAGTATTCTATTTACTTTTTCATTTGGGTCTTTATCGAAAAATAAATAGTATGCAATTGAATATTTGCTTTGGATATCATAGGGAATCCTTTGGGTAAAATTAAAGAATCTTTTGCATCACCTCTTGTGAGCCGGAAAAGATAAAATCTTGATAGATAAGGAATCTTTACGCTTGGCAGAGGATGATCCGTCACATATAGTATGTTAAATGGAGGGCACGATATACTGCTGAAAAACAGACCACCGTTCTCACTGTGGGGGAGTAATCGGAGCTGGCTCAGTGAATATCTTTTTGGGTTTTCAGCTAAGCTTTTTTTTATGTTCCACCACAATCCATCCATCCATTTACAACATCCATTTCACCAGCAGCCATCACGCTTATCCCTGCTAGGGTCGCAAGGGGTGCTTGTGCCTCTCTCCAGCTTTGAATGGGACAGAGAGGACAAACATTTACACACCATTCCTAAGGAGAATTTTAGAGAAGCAATTTAACCTAACAATCATGTTTTTGGACTGTGTGAGAAAGCTGTAGTACCCGGTGAGAACCCACACATGCACAGAGAGAACATGCAAACACAAAGACCCGGGCCGGGAATCAAACCCTCAAACCCGCTTGCACTGTGCTGCCCCGTTCCGCCACTAGATGGCGACAATGCAACATGGATTTGGCTCCGCGCTCATTAGGAATGTGACTGATTCTAACAAATACTTTTTGTGCTTAAGATAGGATATAGAAAACAAATAAAGTAAATAATCGAGGGTCCATTTCCGGAGACTGGTTTATTAAGCAGACTTTAAACATAACCTACGCAAAACTGGGGTTATTTATTTCGAATCAAAGTTAAACAGGAAAAAAAAAATACAGTTTTTTCATTGACCAGGGAGGTCAGTTTGTGATGTTAATTTCCAGGAAATTACATCTGAGATGGGCGGAGAGCTGAGGACGTTTCCTCTGAGCCTGGAAGCTCTCAATGACAGAGACCGACCGACAGAGCAACATGACACACTCTGTCAGCTTTATATGGATTTTATTCTCCTTATGGGGTAAGCCTTTCTTTCTTTCTTTCTTTCTTTCTTTCTTTCTTTCTTTCTTTCTTTCTTTCTTTCTTTCTTTCTTTCTTTCTTTCTTTCTTTCTTTCTTTCTTTCTTTCTTTCTTTCTTTCTTTCTTTCTTTCTTTCTTTCTTTCTTTCTTTCTTTCTTTCTTTCTTTCCGTTCATTTTCTTTTATCCTGAACCTTTCTAATCTAATTGTAAAACTCTTAGGTATAATTGCGGGTAATGTAGGGAAACTGCCACATGTGATAAAGTACCACACAGCAACACCTCAGAGGCTGCAGGGTTGGTCCCTTTCAAACGATGATGCTGCTGCTGCTTCAAACAAGGTAACAAACTTCCTGTCTTACCTTATAAGTCAATCCTGCACTGAACACATCTCATTTCATTTTTGGTCTTTATAAAGAAATACCCAGATGTAGTTCAGTACTCAGTGAACATCACTGGAAAAAAACACACTCTGCACCTGGAGAAGAACAAGTGAGAACACTTGAATTCTAACTTAGCCCATTCTTATTCTGTGTACTGTTTGTTAAATTCATTACCATCTTTTCAGAGATCTTGTTGGGAAAAACTATACTGTGACCTACTATTCTGATCAGGGTACCCAAGTTTCAACTCCCTCCGATCAAGAGGTATGCACCTTTTCGCTTTCTTTTTGTATTTTATTGGTAAACATGAATGGAGCAATTTAATTATCTTGGCTTGATTAAATAAGCAACAGAAAATTATGCAACACTTTACACTAGCACACCGTTTGGTCTGGCACTAAATTCTGTCACAGCTTGTCTCTGTTAAACATTAGAGAAAGAGCTTCTGCAAGACATATAGATCCTTATATTTTAGGATACACTGATCTGAGCAGCCTCATCCTTCTATCACAATCATCTGCATTATGACATTATTGCTAAATATCCGCTGACATACTAATACATTTCCCAATATCAAAGTTCCACATTCTGATTATTTTGAGCAAGAGGAAATTACATATTTGTACATTTCCTATGATATCACCATGCGATGACTTATCCACATAGAATAAAAGTTTGTAAAGCCCTTAAACTAAGTAATTCTTAGAAAAAACTTTTCCAGGTCCAGTGCTACTACCATGGACATGTTGTGGGAGTGGAGAACTCCTCCATCAGCATTGGCTTATGCTCAGGAATAAAGTAAGTGATAATTTTCCTTCATCTTATCAGTCCTTAAGAAACATGTTAATTAAGTAAAGATTTTATTGAACATGAACATTGGAGGGTTTTAATTGAGCAGTGAGTGGCATGTGATCAGATTGTCTAATTTAACAATAAGATTCGACATTTAATATGTCCTGCATTACAACAATACCTAATTTTGCATTTTTACATCTTCATTCTGAGATTTATTTATTTATTTAGATATTTATATACATTTTTTTCTCCAAATTTTCAATTGCTTTTTTAAATGTTTTATTTCTTTTAACTCTTAGTTTCTGCACTTTCACTGTACCACCAATTGTGTACTAACAATCAAATGGTGTTTTTGTACAGTTTTATGTAAGTATTGTTAAAATAAAAAAAGTGTCCTTCTTGTTCAGGTAGGGACTTTTCATGACCTCTTGGATTTACCATAATCATTCTTTCCCCATATTACAGGGGGTTTATTATTCTCCAAGATCAGATGTACCTCATTGAACCTTTGCCTGGTGACGAGACAGGACACAGAGATGATGATCTGCATGCCGTCTACAACTACAAGCACCTGAGGAGGAAGAGGAGCTCCTGTTCCCATGGAAACACAACCACTTTCTACGACCACGGAGCTCGTCCGTCTGGACTCTTCCAGCTTGGCAGCCTGGTGAGGACTGTACACGGACACATTCACAGAGAGTGTGGATTTACACAGCTGATAATTTATGGTGCAGACAGTTTCAGATACAGTGCCACTGACAATCATCCACCAAAACCTGATCAAAAACATTTAATAAAATACATACAGATCAATTATGTTGAATTTCACTAAAACAGCAGCACTATACAGGTACACATTGGATGCAGTACTTAAAATTAGACTTTCTACACAGCTGAGAAGAGTTGACTTTTTTGCTCATATGATAATAAAATCCATATTAGTTGCAAGATTATTCAATCCATAAAAAAAAATTAACTAAACATGATCCTTAAATAGTATGTGACTAACTAAATTATGTGTAAAATTTTTGCAAAATGCACAACATTCATTTGATCTTATTTGAATGTTTGAAGTTTTCGTCACTCCTTCAGATTGATTGTTAACTTTCACAATGTTTTAGGGAAAACATTTTTTTTTCTTACTTTGCATCCAGGGTCTGAAAAGAAAAAAACCCAACACACAAATAAGAAGGGGAAATATTTGAAGAAAAGAAATCATGATCCTTACTGCTTTTGTTTTTATTAATTTTTTCCATGGTTTATTCCCCTTTTAGAAAGGTAGAGCACTGAGCAAAGAGCATAAAAACAAACCCAGGACTGTGGAGCTGGCAGTAGTGGTGGATAAAACAGAGGTTAGATTCCACCTTTTTTCTTTCTTTCACGAAATATTTTTTGGGGAAAATATATTGGTTGCAATATGTGTTTAAATTATTTTTCCAGTACAAGAAGTTTGGTAGCGAGAGGGCTGTAGAGGCCAGAGTGCTTGAAGTAGCAAACCACGTGGACAAGGTATGTTTGTTTCAATGGAGCTTTAAACTGAGAGATTTTTGTTTTTTTATGAAACTTTTAAGTTTAGAAAAAAAAATATATCCGGAAAACTGTCTTCAAATTTCATCCTTTAATAATTAAAACTTAACTAGAAGTAAAAGTTCTCTCACTAGCATTAACTGTGAGTCTTCACACATAAGCTGAAAGCATTCACACGTATCACCCTCAGCTCACAATTTCTGTTACTTCTATTTTTACACAAGTCCATATCTCGTAAATCAAGCGGTGATTTCTGTGAATCACTGTCAATTCTGCATTGCGTTGCAGCTGTATCGCCCTGTGGGTGTTCGGGTCATGTTGGTCGGTCTGCATATCTGGTCGTACAAAGATGAGATCGAGGTCAGCAACAACCCGGAGGTCACACTTGGTCGATTTCTTGAGTGGCGTCGACGGCACCTGCTGCCGAGGACCAAACATGACAACGCACAATTCATCACGTAAGATACTTTTATTTGAATTCTCCACCAAAAAATGTGAATTTTTTCATGCTGTTAAATGTGATATTTAAATATTTCATTTTTGTTCAGAGGTGTGGACTTTGACGGCTCCACTGTTGGACTAGCAAACACTAATGCAATGTGCACCTCAAACTCTGGAGCTGTCAACGAGGTAATAAAAATATATGCTGAACTCCAGACATTTAAAGACATAATAAAGGAATTGAAAGAGTCTGATATTGAAAAGTCTTTGCTCCATAGGATCATAATACCAATTCAATAGGAGTGGCTTCCACAATAGCGCATGAGATGGGTCACAATTTGGGTTTGTCCCATGATACAGAGAACTGTGTCTGTGGCTCCCTCACATCAAAGACAGGCTGCATCATGGCTGAAAGTGTTGGGTAAGCCTGTGTCTAAAATACCTGCAGTGTTATGCAAATGTAATAATAATGATTATTATAAGGTTATAGTAATGATATACGTTTAATTTTTTTCCCATAAAGTTTTTATATCTTAGACTAAGTTAATAAAGTGCACGGTGGTGAATTTATTTCCAATACCTCTTATTTTTTCAATTATTAAATGCAGAAACAGTTTTTTTCTGTCTAATGATATGTATTCAATTTCTATTCCCATAGCTTAGTGTATCCCCAGCAGTTTAGCAGCTGCAGTCAACAGCAGCTCAGAAGGTTTTTGGAGGAGGTCAGCCCTGCTTGTCTGCTAGATACTCCCTCCACTGATCGCATCTATGGAGGACCAGTATGTGGCAATGCATTCTTGGAGCCTGGAGAGGAATGCGACTGTGGGACTGTGGAGGTTTGGGCATACTAAAATAAAACATGCTTTTGCAAACTGCAAATAATGCTCACACTAGAAAATGATTTGTATTTTTCTTCTTCACAGGAATGCAAGAATCCCTGCTGCAACGCAACAACCTGCAAGTTAAACACAGGAGCTCAATGTGCAGAAGGAGAGTGCTGCCACAAATGCCAAGTAAGTACCACTCACTCCGCTTACTACTTGCTAGATGAGGAGTCAGACTGATGCTAATTATATAAGTGTATATCTAGACACCGGGTGACTATTCCGTCTGGCAGGTTTTGTGTGAGTGGATGTATTTGACTAGTCAGTATAACACCATCTGTGTTTCTGTCCGCACTACAGCTGAAGCCGACAGGCAGCATCTGCCGACCAAAAGCCGGAGACTGTGACCTCACAGAATACTGCACGGGCTTTTCTGCGGCCTGTCCGACTGATGTGTTTATCCAAAACGGCCGACCCTGCAACCGTGGAAGAGGATACTGCTACAATGGGAAGTGTCCCTCGAGGCAAAATCACTGCAAGAGACTTTGGGGACCAGGTTATATACATCTAATCAGTTATTTGCTTTAAATGCACTTTTATTGCAATATTCCAACACTTACCAAACTGTCTGTGGGTCTGTTTATGGGTCTGTTCAGAGGCTGAAGTTGCCGTAGATGCTTGTTTCTCTCAGTATGGAACATGCAGAAGGACTCTGTTTAATCAAAGATGTTCCAGTCGGTATGTAACTAAAAGCCACAGTAAAGTCACTGGTTTTATGTCATCTTTCATTGAAGGGTTTCTTGTGGTTGCCTATTGTTTCAGGGATCAATCTTGTGGAAAACTGTTCTGCTCTGGCGGATGGAAGTTCCCAGTGACATCCAGGAAGTCTTTTTACATAGTAGGAAACAGTATAAATTGCAATGAGGCAACCATGAACCCAGAGGACAACTACCCATCCGATCTGGGCATGGTGCCTACTGGTACCAAATGTGGTAATAATATGGTGAGATATGAGATTTCCTGATAAAATAACCACAATCCATGTCGTTACAGACTTTATGGCCTAATGTGTGCCTTGTCTTTATCAGGTTTGCTACAATCAAAAATGTGAAGAAATCAAAAACATTAAAGCCTATGGAACAAATGACTGCTCATCCAAATGTAACAACCATGGGGTGAGTGCCTGTTTCAATTTGTCAGCTATCACTTTATTATTCACTGTTTTTCAAGCTTTTCCTACATAACTGAATTTAAGGTAAACTCACACATCAATTCAATGCAATGTGGACCCAAACACAGTGAAAGCAAGGCCTTCAGATTTCATTCATAAAATACAGTTTTATATGGTGGAAAGGGGTATTTTTTTCTTGGTATGGTAGCTGTGCAACTTAATAAATGGGCCCCCTGCATAGGAAATCAAAGGCACACAATGGAAAGTCTCTTTGTATTTGGTAAAGTAGGGAGTAACAAAAACTGTCATTTGAAACATTGCATTTCTGGTAGCACTTAAGTTGGATGTGACAGTTTGTGTTGTAGCTCTGACCAGCACCGTCACACATGAACTTCAGCTCATTCGCGAAAAAAGAAAAGATTATGTCAAAGTTTTAAACAATATGCTTTGCAATAACTGTTTTCTCCAAAAAATCTGCCTATGTTCAAGCTATACTTCCCTGGACACTATTTGATGGACAACAACAACTGTCTAGCTCTGCCTATAGTCGTTTTTTTTTTTTTTTTTTTTTTTCTTTGACGTTATCATTTGTCTCTAAAACTTCACCTCAGCTGGTAACTGCAGTTAAACATCTTCTTTATTTGGCAAATTAGGCTCTGATGCAGAGGAATAAAATAATTCTGGTTCAGATCATGATTGATCTGAATTTTATGCACATAAACAATACCCGATACTCCATCTCTCTATCTGAGTCATCAATTAAACTGTGTTTTGTCCTTCTCTAGTTTTTGGTTCTTGTTTCCCTTAAATCCATGAGTTGGATGTTTTCAAATCAGCAACAAAAAATAACTCCTTCCTCCCTTCCTGTGTGTAATACCGTCATCTTTTAAAACAATGTAGTGATTAACAGTGATTCATATATATTTAATTATTTCAGTGTTGTTCTTTCTGACTCAACATTATGATGATATATGCCCTCTAAAGTCCTGTGAGAGCAGTCACACAGCTAACAGTGGGATCTTTAATAGGTATGCAACCATGAGAGTAAATGTCACTGCGATCCAGGCTGGGCCCCCCCCTTCTGTGCTGTGCAGCAATCAGAGCTGACTCAAGGTATTGTACTTGGTAAATATTCTTGTCCACAGTGAATTTGTCTCTTTAAATGCTTGACCTTTTATAAGACTCGGATATACACGTGGATCCGCTTCCAGCGTGATTTAATACTTATAGACTCCGAAACAGTTGTTGTCTGTTCTAAGGAGCGAAAACAAATAATGGTGGAATTCAATTTCCCCATTAGTCCACACAAATTACATTATAGTTGTTGTTGTTTTTTTTTTCTTCAGGACAGATGAGCTGTATTGTTGCTCATACATCGTCATAACCTGTTGTGTATTTGTGTGTGTATGTAGATCCAGGCCTGGCTGTTATGATTGTGTCAGTGGTGGTCGGCTTACTTCTGCTGCTGCTTCTTCTTATTGGCAGTCTGATGTGCTTCCTCAGAAAAAGGACACCAACAAAAAGGTGAAGCAGCAGCTGTTTTCTTTATTTTAGATCTTTTAGCCTCATATTTATTTTTACAAAGAAAATTAAACTTTATCTCCTATGTGTGTTTCCTTATAGGTTTCTTCCCATGACCTCAGGACAATCAAACCCTGTGTTTCAATCAAGCACCAAGCGAGGCAGTTCTCGGATCGCAACCTCACACATCAGCCAGCCTAAATTTGTGGAGTCGTCTGTTTCCCAGTCCTGTAGACCTCTGTTCTCTTCTGTCAAACCACAGACTGGAGGTCTGAGGCCCTGCAGAGCAGCTCCAGAGGTGAGCCTGAACACCCTGGCTATAGCTATACAAAGACACTGCATATGTTTTTACTTATATTGTCTTTGATAGCTAACACAAAATATTTCCATCAGTGGTTATGAGTTAAAGCCAACATTTCTTAAAACACAATGAGAACTGAGGCCAAAGAAGAATGGTTTTGCATTATTATCCTCTGTTTAATATTTATTTATTTATTTATTTAAATTTTCAGCCTCCCAAGAAAGAGCCATCTGTGTCTAACTTATCAAAGGTTCACCAGGTAATCTGAGTTTTCCTTATTTTCCTTTAGTCAAGCTAGATATTGGCTGAACTCCTATGTTGAAAAACACCAAAGCCAGCAGAGAGTTTAAGACTGTTTATATTTTCTGACATAACTGCTGCTTAGGGAACTTTATTTGAGATTCCAGAGAAATTTTTTTTGTAAATGATGTAGTAGGACTGGCAAACATCGCTCAAACAAATATATCGACTAACTAACCAGCTAAAAAAAAAAGTAAATTTTGTGGCTACAACAATTACTGGTTTTATTGTATTTAATAAAATGAACTAAATTATGTTATACAATTTTTTTTTGTTTTTTTATTTGTATATAGGCTATGACTTAAGACTGTGACACCAGAACTGTTACATCTTAAACTTTGTTTCATTTCTTTTACAGGTTGCAAGGACTTTAATGCAGCCACCAAATATTTCAAAACTCCCAACTTATCCTGAGGTAAAGAAACACAATAACATATTTACAAAGTGTTAATTGCCAAACCTAAATGAATGCAGTAAAGATTTGAAATGTGCTGAGCTTATGATTTTTTGGGGGTTTACAGACAAAGCCCCTACCACCTTCTAGACCACTACCACCACTTGCGGCAAAACCAGTAAGTGATGCTGTGCGTCTTTCTATTTGCATTCAAAGACCTTTCTTTTGTTTTATTTGCTTCTTGCTTTAACTATTGATATTCTATCGCTTAGAACACAAAGCCAAAACCTCCAATGCCTCATCTGAAGCCCAAGCCCTCTCCAGTCCAGTCTTCCTTGCCACATACTCAGCTGGTACGTAATCACAAAGCAGACAGAGTGAATAAGACTTTCCAACCTCTGACATTGCAGCTGCTCGCATCCAGACATCGCTAAATGTTTTTAAAGGCATTCCCATTTCAAAAGACATCTGTGGTTTTTGGCATGGCCCTAGCATGGCAGCGTAATGAATAAGCAGCGACTCACTGCACGAGACATGAAGGTCTCTGGGATTAATAACTTGGACTGTTGCTCCATAAATTAAATAGGAGGGGAGGTTTTGATAAATAACACTGAATAGTTATCTAAACTCTGTGTGTAACTGTGTTTATTCATATTCTCTTTCTTTTAGCTTAGAGGGAGAGTTCCGCTGGTTCCCCCCAGTAGGCCAAGATGACAGTGAGAGTAATTTACACGGTGGTAAATAAAGGTTCACTGGCAGAGACTATGGAAGAGCAAAAGGAGCTTCACTGAAGACACTTATATGTTAAAAACAAAGACCCAATGAGACTTCTGTTTAATGAAACCAAGGATGTAACAGTCTTGCTGTGGGTGACCTTTTGTACACGTCCTGCTAGTACCAGTCCTCAGCTGGTGTGCCTAAAGCATTGTCTGAAAACCCGAACTCAAGTGCTTAACGAATGACAAATGGTGCTGCTGCTGTTAAGATGATTGATTTAAATGTTAAAGGGAAATGATTTACTGCATTACTTCTGGGACTTTCCAGCTTATTATGAGGCGCCTGCACTACCAATGTCTTTGTTTACAAATATCCTGGATATGACTAGATTTCTTGCACATATTATTCTGCTTTCAAAGGCTTGGTGGAAATTTTATTCTGCATAATTGGATATGTTAGTTAATGAGAAATCAAAATACTGCTGCACGGTCCCTAATTTTTCTCACCTTTGTTGGAAAAGAGGGACTTTATAAGACCATAAATGTGTTTGTAAAGGGAGATAATCAGGTTTGTCATGCTTCATGTAAACTCCTTTGTTAATACTTGATCTAAACTCAGAGAACTTGTTATACTGCCAAGAATGTAAACACCCTCACATGTTTGATTTTTTGTTTTTTGTTTTCTTTAATTCTGGTACTTATTATTTGTTTTATAATAATATGAAAGACAGAGACACTTTGGATGAAAAGGACAAAGAAAAACTGTTAAACTCTTCAGACAGATTTTCGCGTCAGTTTAAGCAATTTAAGTTAAATTTAGACTGCATTTCCTTTTTCCCTTTATTTAATGTCTTTTTTATAGGAATTGTCTGTTTTTTTGTTTTTTTTTGCCACAACATTGGCGGTTTTATTGGTCATTTTATGTAGCTGTTTTGTACTTGTAAGCATTTTGCAGTCTTTTATGCATTTTCTATTTATATTTTATGACAAGTGGTTAGCCTTTGACTATCCTTTCAATGCTGTTAACTGGTTGCTGTGCATTGCTTTAAATTTCTTTGTCCACTTTTATGTTGATCTACCTTTCTTTGTTGTTTTTGTTATTTTTTTCATCACATCTTAGCATTTGTTTCTCTCATGTGGGTTTATATATCACACCATCCATCATTGGCAGAGACCTAGTAGCTCCACCAGTTGCTGTGTAATGTGCTGTCCAGCACTATCATAGGCACTTTTATATGTTTGTGTGTGTCTGTAGCCGATTTTCTCCCAATCTGTAGTGACTTGTGTATATGACATCATGATTGTAATTCTTAAATAGATTTTTCCAATTATCTGCAGTTATAATACACATGAAAATATTGTGCCTTCGTTTGTATTTCATTCTGTCTTGCAATAAATCAGCAAAACTAAATTTTCCTCAGTCTTTTTAATCGTTAGTTTCGATTTGAAAAAAAAACCGGTTGCCTAGCAACACCCCAAACAAAACATTTTAGCGGAGCTAGCGAGCTAATTGTGCTATTCTCAGAGGTAAATATTGTGTTCACAATGGATCATTCTCTAAGTGATGAGGAACAGCGGCAGTTGCTTGCATGGGTAGATAAAATACCCTTTTCCAGGCCCAAAAGAAACATCATCAGGGACTTCAGTGATGGAGGTAGAGTTTGTCTCGTGTCTGTTTATGCTATCCGGTTGTTTACCAAGTTAACCGATGTCAGTTTTTGATTTTTATATTTGCGGACTTTTCCATGCAGTGATGATTGCGGAGATAATTCAGCATTTTTCCCCAAAATTTGTTGACCTCCACAACTATAGCAGTTGCTGCAAAATTCAGCAGAAACTTAGCAACTGGAGCCTTCTAAACAAGTGAGACATTTCTATTATTTCTATTATATTATTATTAATTTCTTTTTTTTTTTTTTTTTTGGTATTCTCTTATCGTGCCCTTGGGAAACACCTGCCTAACACAAAACAAATAAATAATCATAATAATAAACAAGTACTCTTCATTGGGAAAAATTACCATAATTTTTAATACCTTTGTTTTGTTTTTTACCTTAGGATTTATGTTAATGATCTCAAACAGCAGGACAAAATGGTTTAGTTTAATCTTTTACGTAGCCATGATTTGGGGATCAAAATGGTATTAAAAGCCTTAACAATAACAGTTTTGAAAGTTGTTATTAAACATTTACAGGGCTGTGGAAGGGAAAACAGCCCACAGCATAATTCTGCCACCACTCTTAGACTTAGACACTTAGACTTAGTGTCTAAGTAGTAATTCTAATTAATTCTGCCACCACTCTTTCTTTTGTGCCATTGAACGACATCGGTAATGTCATTGCTGAGAAGCTGAATCTTTCCATATATATATAGGGAGAATGGCGGCCAGGTTGTTAGGGCATAGAGCTTGGAATCATGAGGTTCTGAGTTCCGGCCCCACTCCCACAGACTGCCACTCTGGGTCTCTGAGCTAGACCATTAACCCCACACTGCTCCCTGGGTGCCCCATAATAGCAGCCCATTGCTCCCCAAGGGGGTGGGTTAAATGCAGAGCTAAATTTCTCTAATATAAGATCAATAAAGTAAAGTTATTTTGATAAACAACACAGCAAAAGAGACAGAAAATGCTTTAACCTGATATGCCTCCCAAATGAACATTTTTACATATATGGTGTTTAATGGTGGTAAGGATACCTGATGAACTCAAGATAATTTTTTACACCCCTTATTTGCATGCTAACGGTGCATAGTGGCAACCAGGAACTAATTTCGGCTCGTCGTTAGGCCTGGGAGCAAGGGCTGAAACAAATATGGTCTCTGTGGGATGTCACAAATCTGCCTCATCCACACAAGACGCAATTGATTATCAATGAAACTGTCCCATGCCACTCTGCCCAATTAAAATATGATGTAAAAAAAAAAAACTTTTATTATATTATCTCATAAGAGCTGTTAAAAGAGAAAAGAGTGTAGTTGTGACTTGTGCAAAAAGGGACTTATTCACCATTGAAAACATTAAAAAGTGAAAAATTGTATTTTAATTCTTACAAAGCACAGAGTATAACACAGAAAGATTTGTTGCTAGGATCACTAGACTAGTTTTTGATGTTCTACAAACAATAAGCCAAACCTTTCGCTGGACCTTTTCATCAAGTCATGAGAAAACAGACATACACCCACTCACCCACTTCCTCACTGGAATGGCACACAGCCAGCTACAGATTTATGAGCCCCCACTCTAAACATAGCCATCCCTGCAGGCCCATTAGTTAATTACATGCCATTTGCTTTCGACTCCTTCTTTCTATCAGAAACATATGTTTTTCTGTATGGTCAGGAGGGTGTTTCCCAAGTTGGACATTTATGTACCAGAGGAGACGGTAAAGAAGATTGTTGTAAGCACCCCTGGAGTTATAATTCCTGTGCTGAACATCCTCAAGAAGAAGATAGAGGAGAAAAGGGAGCAAACAACCAACAACTCACCAGTTAGTACATCCACATATGACTGGATTTCTTTTTTTTTCTTTTTTTTTTATAAAGCCTTCATGTCAATATAACTAAAAATCACTGCAGTTGGCTTGCTTTAACATTTCCTCAATTTTATACAGCAATACTTTTACACCGGGAGCCAGGAGAAGCACCTTTCAGGTACTAATTTAACATTTGCATTCTGTTATTTTTGTTGTTTTAAATTAGATCAATCTATTGCGAGACAGTGATTTAATATTTAAAATGACAAAGCTGCCATAAGGTGATGATATCAACTAAATGACCAAAACTAAACGCGCTGATTTAGAACAAAATGTGATGACTTTACATAAACCTGATGGGTAACAGGGTAAGCTGTGGAAAAAGTTAGCTGACAGTGCACAAAATGTGTCTTTTTAATCTTAGCAGTCCAAAATAAGTGTAATTTTAGACTTTTTGTAGTGGTGTTGTACTCAGCTAAATTCTAGGTTTTTTCACAGAACACTTGTGGAAACAATTGAAGTTGACCAAATAGAAGACTATGTAGATAAAAGCTAATAACTGCAAACAAAGCAATGACTGTTACCAGCAGCATTTTTTTCTTTTTCAAACTTCTGAGTGCAAAGGAATTACAGATTAATATCAATGCTTTGTGTCAGAAGCAACTGAATTTGTATATATACACACACACACATATATATATATATATATATATATATATATATATATATATATATATATATATATATATATATATATATATATATATATATATATATATATATATATATATATATATATATATATATATAAAGTTAAGAAGCAGTCTATATTCTGCAAGGCTTTTAGCAGAAGTTCCTTTGTAGTGTCCATGCTTAATCACTTATGTATTTTGTTTTTTATACAACTAGTTTGGCAGGTATTACAACTAACCAGCCATCATTTTATATTATGTTTTGGTTGACAGTCACAAAAGTTGAGACACATAGACACATTATTATTAATATAGGATCTTATCTACCCATTTTAAACATTTGTTTTTTTATTCTATTGTATCAGATATCAGATAAAAACAAAAGGTGCTTTACACGAGGTTACAGCTGTCATATTAGATTGTGGCAAACCTAATAAGCAACTGTTTAGCTAATCTGCTATTTAAGGCAAAAATAATGTGATCTGTTTACAGTACTTCTAAAAAGCCAATAAAAATATATATTTCTAACAAGAGGGGACCAAGCCTGTTGCAGGGTTCACACGCATGTACAGAAAACAGCGTTTACTTTATTGTTGATTTGTAAAAAAAAATGTATGCTTAACTTGTCCCTGAAGTGTTTCCCTAGCTTATACTCAGCACTAATCATTAAAATGGCTCTGAATTCTGATTCTTTAGACATAACTTTTTTTTCCTTAGAAGTAACTGGTGTAATTTTGTCCCTATTCTGTGCATAGCAAGGACCCTTAAACTGATTATATCTTGGGATGGACTCTTGTAAGGGCAAGGTCCAGATCTAATTGCTTGCTAGGACCTGCTTAGGAGCCCAATGGCTTGGTTGCTTCTGAACTTTAGTCTGGCTTTAGGGACCTTCAGCAGAAACTGGTCATGATGTTTGCAGCATCGAAATGCATCTCTTCAGAGGGCTATTGAAGTTACAGTCTTTGAACAAGTAAAAAAAAAAAACAAGCCGTGTTTGGCTTACAAATTAGTTACCACAAACATCATAGTGCTTTGATCAAAATGACCAATTGCTATGACTATGTTGTTTTGTATCAGGTCGTTCTGTTTCTGATGTGGAACTATTGTACTGCCCTCTTGTTGAGGATTCCATTGCAAACATCTAAAGATTAAATAGAAAAAAAAAATGGCTCTGAGGCGCTGCGTGAATTGCAGTCTTAAAATCTCTGAGAGGAAGATAACCCCTGAGCAATGTCTCTGAGAGTGCTAAAGCTTGAAAAAATAACAAATGTCCCCCAACTTATCAAATTTAGAAACTCCTCCAACAGTCAAACTAGGGTTTGAGAGAATTTCTTTTTTTTTTATTTTAGAGGTTGCTGCTGTCGCATAATCAAGCAAAAAAAAGGCAATTATTTTTTTTACATTAGGCCTGGATATTGTTAGCAGACTATGTAAAATATGTAAATATTGTTTCAGTTATTATTTTATAATAACTGAAATATAGGAATATATATAGCACTGGATCTGCAACTAAACATGGGGAGGTGAGAAGAGTAATACTTAAAAATAAAGTTAAAATATCCGGATTTAAAGGCTTCTTATTGTGTAGTAGGATTCAGTATGGTTGAAAAGTTTGTTTGGGTAATGCATCAAATGTCTTTATTTCAGTAAAAAAACATCCCCGGGTGAAAGTAGTTTTCTCTTTGTAACAGTGAGCACTATGTTGTGACCAAGCTTGGTTTTCATCAGACTCATTGTCTGCTGTGGCTTATCCCCACCTAGATAAGCTGATAACCAAACAACCAATCATTAAACACACTAGTCATCCCTCTGTTAAATAAGTTAGAAAATGTTTTAACAAGAGCAAAAAAAAATAAAAAATGGAAAAATTATTAAAAAATGAAATAAATAAATTTTAAGAGGCTATTAAAATATAGATCAACTCATTGCCTTTTTCAAGAAACTATTCTTTTTAACTATTTTCCAGCTGCCATTAATGCTGTTTCTAGCACTAATGTGATTTTTTTATTGTGTCGTCTTGCCTGTCCTGAGATCATTAACCTTTCTGACACTTCCTCCAAAACTAGCAGCTCCTCCTTTGAAGGCACTAGACAAACCCCTAGAACAAAACGTAACAACATGAGGGTGAGAAATGGAGATATGCGTCTCTTCCGTTTCCTACATTTCATCTGCCCCTGAAAGCACACTCTGTGGAGCTGACCTGAGATCAGCACCCCCATCCCTTTCCTCCTCTCTCTCGCTTTCCTCTTTCATCCACACCCATCCGTGCTCCCTCACTGATAGATAAGGAAAGCTGAGCCCCCCTGTTCAGGTCTTATCAGCTCCCAACATCCAGATGGTTCTTATCAAAGAGCTTGAACTCAGGACTGTTGATTGAAGGGCAGATTTTCTCTTCCAGTCCTCTTATCTGACTTTCTCTCTGTTTCCTTCAACTATCTTGCAAGTACTTCACTTTTAGCCTCACCAGATGCACAAAACTGGATCTCTAAAGATTTTTTTTATGCTTTCTTTTTGTTAGATCTAGAAATTCAACGGGCTGAAGCAAGAATTGTGGCACAGCTGGAAGAGATAAAGATCCCAGAATCAAAATTGTACGGCAAAACAATTACATCCACTGGACCTAATAAAATCTGTTGCACTGCTTGCAATAGTTTTTGGAATATCCTAATTTTTAATTTATGTTCATATCACACAGAAAAGAGAAGAATGTGACATTTTACACAGAGATGGACAGTAAAATGATGCTGCGGCAAGTCCTGATGGAAAAAGAGCTTCAGATCCAGGATCTACAGGAAACTGTGAAGGTACACTCAAACTGCTGACCGGTTGATGATCTGCGAAAACAAGCATCTACCTTTTCTATGCCTTGTATGCGGTAAATGTTGGTTTGATCATGTTTCTGTAGAGCGTGTGTGTGTGTGTGATGTGTCACACCCCTGTGTCAGCAGCAGCCCGTGAGTCATCAGCGACTCAGCGGATATAAACCCTTTTTTTTTTTTTTTTTTTGCCACATCTGCTTGAACATAAAAAAGGGGAATGTTGACCTTTTTTTCAAAATTCTTCTACTGCCTCTTTAGATAAACTACTTTTTCATTCTCTGTTTTCTTGCATGTAGGTCCTGCAGGTGAAAGTGAGCAAGCTGGAAGACCTGGTTGCACTGAAGGACAGGCGCATTGAACAGCTGACCTGTCTCCCCGAGGTGTACAAAACAAAACTACAGTTGGCTGATTAATAAAAAGAAAGACACCTCACTTTCAAGTTTAAACTTCTTTTTTGTCCTTGCTTTCAGGTTTGAACTTCTTTTATGTCCTTGCTGAAGTGTGTCTATTAGTAAAAAAAAATTGGGTTCAGTGGTTCCAGCCTTGATTATCTGACATTTACATTAAAAATACCTAAGATGATGGAATTAGTTGTTAATTATGTTAAGAAAGTGTGATAAGTTACTATCTTAACTTTGAGATTACTTATTTTTTTGTCTCGTCTTCAGACTCGTGTTTTAAATCATCAAACTTCAGTAAGATCACCCAACAAAAATCCAAAAAGAAGTTCCAAGCTGATGATTCAATAAAAAAAAAAAAAAAACAATTACAAGACTATACAAACCATCTAAAGTGTTGCTCTTACAAAAAAAATAAACCCCTTAAGCTTTTGATATAACAAGCATTTAATCGTTTATGTCACTGAAAAGGATTGTTGGCCCGTATTTGCTGATTTGTTTTCATTTAGTGTTTGTTTTGGGAAAGAATCTTAAGCATGTATAGCCTGTAAGAGGCCACGCCACACTTCATCAATTGTAAGTATAAACTTTGTCCAGGCAACTCCAGCTTTTATATTAAGAGATATGGTTTGCTCTGGATAAATGTGATGTCCTTAAAGGTATAGAGGAGGATGTTCCTTTTCTGGGTGGATCATCAAAATAAGTTGTCCTCCTAATTGTCATTCTATGTTTATGTAAGGCCCATCCTCAGTGCTCATCGCTATTTTTGCTTACTGGTGGTGAGTCTGACATAATGGAAAAATTACAAATCTTCTTTTAGAAACTAACCTTATATGAGCGATGCAAACAGCAACTTTTAAATGAGGAGAAATTGATTTGTGCATGCTCTTGCAGGTACATGGTTGTGCATGTGATTTGTCTTAAGTGGAGAGGGCGGGTCTTTTAAAATAAATCGTAAAAATCCTCCTTTATAACTTTTACGTATAGAAACTTATTGCTGAACATTCTCCTTCAGGATTTTCTGGATAAAGGCAGAATGTGTTTATTTTTCAAGGATCTTATAAGGTGCTTTGTTCAGAAATGTGAGTCAGGCCTTTTTGTTTTGCCAGTAGTGGTTTGGATCCAGGGACTCTCCCTATCGCTGTCACATTTCTACAAGTTGGATCAAAAGATCTTGCTTTTTAAAATCTTTAAATGCTTTTTTTTTATGTATGAAATCTAATATTAAACAATTACTTCATTGATAAACCCAGTTTATTAATAAAGTAATGATTGCCTTCATGGCTGTTACTCAGTTGTTTACTTTACTAACTTCTATTAATTCCACTGTGTGGGAGCCTGTAGGTTCACTTCCTTCAATGAAAAAATGACATCAGGGACATTCAATGAAACATCTAACTGTGAAACTGGCTCAAAGATAGAACACAATTCTTACTCTCTTGTTTTCCACTTTGATATAGGTTTTTTTTTTCAGAATGAGTCTATTGATCATGCAGAGATGACCAAAAATGGAAAGATTTATCATCTTGCAGCTTATAAAAAAAGCTTAAATCTGTTTAGAATCAGAATTAGTATTACCTTTCCCCCTTGAAGATTAATATCTAATTACATTATTGAAAGATCTCTGAAACAAACCAAAAATAATCACAACTAAGTATTTATGTGTCTAATAGATATGCAAAAAATATTTCTACCACCACTGATAAAATGACAGCCTCAAGAAGACAAACACCAACAGTTCATTGTTGCATTATATTACAATAGTTTTACTAGGGTTGGGCGATTAATCAATAAATGTAATTTTCAATTTAAAAAGATTTTATTTCATTTTTGGAAAATCTGGATTTCCCCACCAATGGTCTTCTTGAGATTCCATAGCTCAGGTTGACATCAGTTCATCACTTTTCATACATAGATTTGTAATTATAACTGACACCGTTAGCTCTGAAAACATTTAGTTTGTTATATTTTCATAGTTTCTTGTAAAACGTAGTTTAACAAGCATTTATGCAGTTTGAAAGTCGTTGCCCTTTACAAAAAGTTCACCTTCCAGAGGTGAGAATAATGGATGCCATTTGTCATTTTTATTATGAAACTTAAGGGAGAAAAAAACAAATCAATTTATTGGATTTGGTAGGAAAAAAAAAAAATCACAAAATTTTTAAGCCATGTCGCCCAGCCCTACATTTTACCACCGTTGAATTTATGAAGTTACTCCACTATAACACGTTGAGATTAGCTGGTTGAAAACTAGGCATGAGTCCCAATGCTGTATACCTTACTAACCACAGTTTGGATTATATCAATTATAATGATAAGTTATGATACGTTTTTTAAATAGCTTGCTTAAGTGACAGAAAAGCATTGCTTTCTTACATTGTTTTGACTACTGATGAGAAGAAACAAGTGGGGGAGGGGTAATGGTGGAAAACTCTTTGCAAATACTATGGAAAGACAATAATGTTAGCTGTTTTGGAGCTTCGTTTTTTTTTTCGAAAACTTGATACACCTAAATAGAGGCTCGGACTGGGAACGATTTTTGGCCCTGGCATTTTTCCATCTACACTGGCCAACTTATGGACCCCCCCTGAAAAAAAAAAAATAGAAGCACAGTCAAACGCGTGCTTCTCAAATGTAAAACACAATACGAACACATATTGTGGATTAACCAATATATCTTCAAGCATCACACGACAACCATCACCAAGACTTCTATAATGCGGTGTTACTGGCTTTGGTAACCAAAGCACGTAAAACGGGAAACGTTAGCCTTTAGATGCAAAACCCCATCATGCACTACACCATATTTTTGCAAAATATTCAAACATAAATTTGCCAAATATAAGGGGAACATCAAGCATTTTAGTTTTATTATAATTTAGCTTGTTGCAAGGATTTTACAGTTTGAAGAAATAGAAAATTACACCATATGCCAACCGTCACAAGGATGTGCATGACAAGGACGGCCTATATATAGTGCATGCATCATTTAGGTAGTTAAGATTGTATTACTTCTTGAGCTCCTTGAGTAATTTACTGTAACAGGTAGGTGCTTCGGCCAAAACAGGGCTGGTATGATTTAAGGAGGACCGGCCTGATTTCACAGATTACCAGTCCGAGCCTGCCTAAATACCAATTACCAGCCTTTAAACACATTACTATACAAGCAAATGTCATTAAGCATGAAAACTAAAACCGATTTTTAAAGGTAACTATACACAGCTTGTATGGAGAGTAATGGAAAATGATTTTCCAAAAGAAGACACCCATATTTTCTCAGTTAAGATATTACAGACACAGCGGATTCCAAACAACAGAGTGCATTAAGATAAGCAGCAGTCACACACACACAAAAGTAAATAGTCCAACAGTCTTGAGTAATGTTTAGAGTTTTCATAAAACCGCAAAGGAGCTCCATAAGAGAGGGTTGCAGGGGAAACTCACCAACACACAGTAAAAGAATGTGAGAGAAATTGTTGGAACAGAGCAACCATTGAAGGCATTGAAGCTTTGCTGCTGATGATTCATACTGGGATCATGCTGCTTTCTGAGGGCAAGAGTTGATCTGAGACGAGACGCCAAGCCCTCATGTAACTGGGGAGGTACATTCCGGATAAAGGTTATTTGGATCTTGTACAGGTGCTGGTCATAAAATTAGAATATCATGAAAAAGTAGATTGATTTCAGTAATTCCATTTAAAAAGTGAAACTTGTATATTATATTCATACATTACATACAAACTCATATATTTCAGATGTTTATTTTGTTTAATTTTGATGATTACAAATGACAACAAATGAAAATCTCAAATTCATCATATCAGAAAATTAGAATATTGTGAAAAGGTTCAAAATTGATGGCCCCTGGTGCCACACTCTAATCAGCTAATTAACTCAAACCACCTGCAAAAGCCTTTAAATGGTCTTTCAGTCTAGTTCTATAGGCTACACAATCATGGGGAAGACTGCTGACTTGACAGTTGTCCAAAAGACGACCATCGACACCTTGCACAAGGAGGGCAAGACACAAAAGGTCATCGCTAAAGAGGCTGGCTGTTCACAGAGCTCAGTGTCCAAGCACATTAATAGAGAGGCGAAGGGAAGGAAAAGATGTGGTCGAAAAAAGTGTACAAGCAAGAGAGATAACCGCACCCTGGAGAGGATTGTGAAACAAAACCCATTCAAAAAGGTGGGGGAGATTCACAAAGAGTGGACTGCAGCTGGAGTGAGTGCTTCAAGAACCACCACACACAGACGTATGAAAGACATGGGTTTCTGCTGTCGCATTCCTTGTGTCAAGCCACTCTTGAACCACAGACAGCGTCAGAAGCGTCTTGCCTGGGCTAAAGAGAAACAGGACTGGACTGCTGGTGAGTGGTCCAAAGTCATGTTCTCTGATGAAAGTAAATTTTGCATTTCCTATGGAAATCAAGGTCCCAGAGTCTGGAGGAAAAGAAGAGAGGCACTTCATCCACGTTGCTTGAAGTCCAGTGTAAAGTTTCCACAGTCAGTGATGGTTTGGGGTGCCATGTCATCTGCTGGTGTTGGTCCATTGTGTTTTCTGAGGTCCAGGGTCAACGCAGCCACATACCAGGAAGTTTTAGAGCACTTCATGCTTCCTGCAGCTGACCAACTTTTTGGAGATGCAGATTTCATTTTCCAACAGGACTTGGCACCTGCACACAGTGCCAAAGCTACCAGTACCTGGTTGAAGGACCATGGTATCCCTGTTCTTAATTGTCCAGCAAACTCTCCTGACCTTAACCCCATAGAAAATCTATGGGGTATTGTGAAGAAGAAGATGCAATACACCAGACCCAACAATTCAGAAGAGCTAAAAGCCACTATTAGAGCAACCTGGGCTATCATAACACCTGAGCAGTGCCACAGACTGATCGACTCCATGCCACGCCGCATTGCTGCAGTAATACAGGCCAAAGGAGGCCCAACTAAATACTGAGTGCTGTACATGCTCATACTTTTCATGTTCATACTTTTCAGTTGGCCAACATTTCTATAAATCCTTTGTTTTTA